GGGTTTTGCTCTCAATGGCTGCTACTCGTTCGCGTAAGTGTGTTTCTGTACGCGTGTGTATGTATGTGTTTGTGCATGTGTGTGTGTAGATCTTACAGAAATAAGAGCGACTACAAGGAAGGGAACTCATTCAGCGGCACTTTTCTTTTGACCTCATACCTCCCACGCTTACTGGGGCAACGTTTGACTTGCAGTGACTTTAATTGTAGAGTGCCGGCGGCCGTGTAGAAGGCCGCTAGCTTGCAAGGACTTAGTTTGAAACATACTCAGAAGAGCTTCACTGCTGAACAGAGCTGTACACTAGTCTTCTTTCATAGCGGCGTTCGCCTGTTCGCCTATCAGATACCTACAACTGCTGTGAAGAAAACAGGGGCAGTTCTGCGCAGTTTTTCAGTAGTGACTGCAATAACAATAACAGCAGGGTAAACAAGTACAGCGGGGTACTCTAAGTCATGAGGGGCAATAGTTAGGTGTATGGTAGTGACAATAAAGCAAATACTTTCGGTCATCTGGCGTCTTTTCTACTCTGTCCTCTCAAACGTACGCTCTTAAACAGCCATTCAAAAAACATTCAGAATGCGAATGTTGCGCATAAGTATAAAAATATGAGGCACAACGACGAGGCAATTCGTGCTCGACGACTAACTGAGTCATTTAGAAGGTTTGGCGGGTGGTAAGTCGTCATCTATAAGCTATATATGGTAGAACATAGGATTCCGTCAGTTAGCAGCAAAAACTTGGAAGCACTCTCACAGAGTCCAACGCGGCCTGACGTCCCATGTTGTCTCTGTCTACAGAATCGAATTTAATCTATAGGAGTCGCTATACGAAGATACCTGCGCCGAGCAGTCTCGTCATACCGTACACTTGGCTTTCTTAATGGAAGCAGGAACGCAACGAAGCACTTTAAAATTAAAGGCCCGAAACTACTATTGCATACGTGTTACGACTATTTTCCAAGCCCACTGCCGCACTTCTGGGCCGGAGTTGTCCTTCACTTGCTTATTCTTGTTAAAAACTATGCAAACTTAAGAGTTCTTATTCCTGTTGCTTTCCAGTTCCTTCCCCCTCTTTGTACTATCCTTCTCCCTCTCAGTGTTTTCCTCTATTTTGTCCTAAACTAATTGTCAAATAATGAAAATTAACTCGGATTACAATTAGCTTAGAAATCCGGCCTAGTAATCCTGCGAACGACTATATAAAGCACATTAGGAAAAACAGCAGTTTAAATTTATTATAGTACATGTGCTGAACTATCATATAATGCTGAAGACCGAAAGTATATAAAGGCTTCCCGTCGTATTCGACTAGAGGCAACGCGAGGTGTACTATAGGTGGACGCCAGTTCATTGTTTAGGCAGCTTCTTATAATTTCCTCTCTCCACTCATAGCTAATGTAAGCACACCCCGTCGATTAAGGAATACTTACAGTAAATCAAATGCTAAAAATATGAATATCAATAATCATATTCAAAATACATGGTATGGCACGCGGAAAAACGCAATTAATTAAAAAAATTGGCATCCGTAGTAGACCATGCTGTTCTCATGTGTCAACCCTACGACATGCATAGCGTTCAAAATGCTAAATTGTACGGAAGCGCAGGATACAGCTATTTGGTGAAATGTGTACCAAGACGCTACTGTTTCAGGAAACACCCTCGAAACTTATGGGGCCAGTAGTATACCCTGACGGGAGGAAGCAATCTAACTAAGCGACAAGGAAGAACTTCGGCAATCAGTCAACTGACTGCATCTTGACAAAGTTCTATGTGAGATGAGGGTAAAGGCATGTGGTTTTAGACAATATGGAAACTCCAAGTAGCTGGTCTAAGTTTTTAAACTTATAACAAAGTTTTTCGTCCGCAATACTTGAGCTGCGTGAGAGTCATCGAGTAAGCAAGTGGAAGTTATTGGCCAGATGTCATAGCAAGATTTAATTGACTGAAAGGCATAGAAGCGAGTGCCTTTTTCGTGGATTTACAGGTCGTAGCCTCCAATTTCTTATATTATTATTTTCCTCCAATTACATGTTAAACTTTGCCTTTAACAGTTGCCAAACGCCGGCGTAAAAGGTGCACTGTATAATACTTGACGAAAACTTGCATGTGATTTTATACTGGATATTTTAAAATAAAGGTTAATTATTTCCTCGTGACGGATAAACTTAAGTAGGAGAATAACGGAGACAAAGTAACTGGGGGAAAGGTGTGCCTATTTGAATTTGTTAATAGGAAGAACGATATCACAACTACAGGACGATGAAGTCAATGCAGCAGATTAGTTACGATTGAAATAACGGCGTGTCTCAGACGCGTTAATGTACGAAATAGCTGAATGTTTTCAATTAAATTGTTTCGATTGCAAACTTTCTATCATGAAAGCGTTTGCCTCCCAGTGGGCATCGAACGTACACACACTGGTTTGTTTGTACAAAGAAGAGGCTTACATTGGCAAAGCGAAATGCATTCACAGAAGCGTTCTGCAACAATAACCTATTAAATACTTATTAAACGCTGCTGTTAACCCATTAATTTCTTCCAGGATAGGCTGGAGAGGGCTTTGCATTGTTCACATAGAATGTTCTGAATATAGGCGATACCGTTTTGTTCTATCGGAACGAAATTGGAGGCTGTTCGGGTCTTGGCAGCACCTGCCATCTTAGCACTTTTTCTTCAAGTCGGCTTACTTCGTAAAATAGAGATATTTTGAGGGCACTGCGTCCTTGTAATCTAACCCATTTCAATCAACTTTTTCGGAATTTAGTACACGACTAAAATTACGCAAATATACCAGCAACTAACAAACGGCTAAAAAACAACGCTCCAAAAACCAATGATCAGGTCGATCAATCAATTTTCCGTCCAAAAGTTAATACAGTGGGCTCCCCATGCGTCAGCCAAGCTTTGGGGGCCTTTTGGCCAAGATCGTGCGCTATGAAAATTCGAGTCAGCTTGTTATTCTGTTAGGTCATCATTTAATTGCAGTTGAGTTCGCAGAAAACATTGAAACTCTCTGTATGTATTATATCAAAAGAACTCGAGTTGCTTTAAACAGACACTTGCAGGAGTATAACGAAACGTGTATAAGAGGGTTTTAGGACAATTCCAGCCGGAAACCTGTGCAGTTTCAGGACTGCAATCAGGCTGCAGTTTATGCTAGGATAAGCGCAAAATCAATAAAATTCGCTAGTACCAGAACGAGATGGAGCAATAATTATATCGACGGATTACTGTGTTTAAACCACTCTAGCAGTTGAGCGAGGAATAGGAGACCCCTGCCAGGTGACATAAAATAGACAGCTACAGGGACTAAGGCGTTTTATTCCATCGAGCTCCTATCCAGATGTATTTATTATTCTACGATAAGAAAAATCATTCCACGATGACGGAGTATGGCTCCAGACCAAGTAATATTGCTCGGAGCCAGAGTTTGAGCCCGTATAAGCTTTGCACATCCGACTCTAACTCAGCTGTTGATGCTGCTGAGGTAATGGTAGCTGTACTTTTTTTGGAGAAGTTACTTCAGGGAGTGGAGTTTTGTCAGGTGATGGCGCGGGTCGTTTGAATCGGACACAAAAATGGGAGAGAAACAGGTCGGACGAACCGCTAATTCAAGTGCCACTTCAAAATCATCTCGACAGAGATATTAGACAATTGATAAACACGTTTTGCAAGATTTAAAAACGCGTTTATATATTATAAGTTTTAATCAAAACATACATTTTTACTTGCTGGTTTTATTAAAATAATCCCCATTGGAATTTGAACTGCAGTAGACTCATAAGTAAATCGTGTCTATAATACATAGCGATTAAACATTATATGTCTGTATGTGACGCGGGTAGTGATGGCGTTCAACGGAAATGTTTGAGCTTAAAGGACCGTTCCTTTTGACGACAAACAGCGAAAGGTAATTGTATAATATACAGTGTCCGTATGAAAATGATGAGAAAAGTCCCTGACATTGCATTTACAGTACACACATGTAATGATCTATACACACAAAAAATAGTCATAAACGCATCCGGTACGTAGTCCAGTTGGCATTTTGCTTATTTTGCTAATCAGCATTGCAAGGGCTCCTACAAATTTATCAACCGGCGGCAGCGGTGGTCCAAAAGTGGAATCACTCGCAATGAATCAAGACTACATTAGTTCCGCTGGCTTTACTCATGGGCAAAGGTAGCCCTGCAGTCAGATTTCGTTTCGCGATTATCGACCCAGGCCTAAATAAGTTTTACCTTATCTGAATTTGAGGACCTTGGATCATATAATCGTATAGTTAGAGCTATGATAAACTAATGCGTCAAACTATACTAACAACTTGTTAGCAGTTCTAGCTAGCCGGTAGGCAAGTCGCATCAGAAGCGTTAACATAAAGCGCGAGTCCTGAAAATAATGTACATTCACGGTTCATGACATGTGAGTGACGACTGGACGTCCAATGTCCTTACGTCGTTTGTGTTTTTCAAAACAATTGTCAATTACTCACTAAGCTCGTTCATGTTTATATCGGGTCCAGGATATGCGGCTGTCTGCAATACCTATCAAATGGTTTTGTTCATATGTTAATCAGGCAACTTGCGAGACGTTCACAGGTCGTCCAATGTAAACTCGCACAGTTAAACAGGCCAAATACGATATTAGGTACTACACGTATGGCCTTACGATAACATTGAGAGCAAACGAAGCTTTTCTCCAGTTGGCACTTTGCTAAACAAAACTTTCCGCTTTGAGGATCTTACGGGCAGTTCCACAGGCGCCGAGCGACTCGACCTGAACTGGAGTCCACATGGCTCACATTAGAGCCACTGCCTTTAAGAGTATTCGGTCATGATGACATAACTAACACTTGTGATTGAGCTTGTAAACAACTATTCGGACGTTCTAATTAAACAACTATTATAAGAATAAAATGTTTCTATGGGGAACCAACTTGATTCGAGGCTATTCGAAAGAATAGCCTGTGAAAGGAAAGCAAGTTTTTGCTTTACTTACAGCATTTATTCCCGAGAGTTGCTGCGAAAGATGCATGACAATTCCGATGAGCAAAGGAACTTGCAAGGTCCTGTCTCGTAACACCTGTATCACAGTTACCTGAAATAAAATAAGAACCCGGTAAAATAACTATGCAGCCATATTGTCTTTCTCTATCTCAGTCTTTATATATATATATACTTGTTAGGGTAGTGTCTTTTGACAATTTGGGGATTTTAACTTGACGTTTTTTATTGCTATTTTTTTGTATATGTTTCTTGTAGCTTTAATAGATGCGAAGTGACCACTTTCAATCTGTCAGTTGACTTTTGCCCTTGACACTTTAGGACGAGAAACAGGTGTGGCTAACTCACTCGAGCTACAGTTTTCGGATCTGACAAAGGTTTATAGGCTTTAAGGTTAACAGTAACGAACGAAGAGCAACCTAGAAAACGTTTTTTTTTTTTTAAATAATTGTCATATCTTGCCGCCTCGAATTAATATCGTTACTATCATTATATTTTATCACAATCACCCTAGAGATGTTCTCGTTTTCAATTTTGTCTATTCTCTATTCTATAACACAGTGTAGTATAAAGGCGTCTGTGATTTAAAACTTTTACATGGCCGAGTGAAATAAATCTTTTTTTTTTGAGTTTTATGTCCAAAAGGGCGTGGGTGTTGCATCATATGCTCGAATGATGATGCTTCATGTCTTCAATTTTTATCGTGAAGGCAGCCCTCGCTCCGATTAGCTTGCAGCGATTCATGTAAACTATACATCACCCTTTTACTACACTGGTGCAATAGAATCTTACGGATTGCCTATTTATCAATGGCAAGTACTATCCAGTTACTCAGTAATCATTTATATTTCGCGCAGCCCTTCGTAACTGGCTCAATAGCTTCAATCGATGTACGCGTTGCGTTTATCTCGAAAATAGCTTACTCCAGAACAGTAAGTTGTATTGGGTGGCGTTTACGCTGTACATGTATCCATTATATTACCTAGCCATCGCCGATTTACCCAACTAAGTTATAACAGCAGCGTGACCTGAGCACTGCCAGTGATCGAAAAATCAAATTAAATTGTATAAAATCGAACGGACTAATTCACTAAAAAAGACCGTACTAAATAAAACCCCCCAAGAAACAACGTGCAAGCTCGCTTAAAAAAGGTAGAAAAAAAAAATGCACGTACCACATGCAAACGGTACGTCTGTTTGAGAAACCTGACTAAATGCGAACACTCGTACGCCACCTATGTCATGTTAATAAAAGATCCCAATTTAGCATGAAATGCTCCCATGAGCCTACATGTTCGATGTTCTTCTCCTGCATTGTCGTACGAAGCACCACTAGATGTACCCAGTTTGTCTCCAATCAGCTTCACTAACTTTATGAACGGCAGTAGGGTAATTTCGAGTCTCTTCTATAACTTCCTGAAGGTAACTGGACGAGCGATGTTCGGCCATGTCCTTCCCTACGGAAGACTTTTGAGGGCATCATTTCCGTGTTCGATTGTGTTGGCGCCCTAATGATCACATTATCATATACAATGGGTTTTTATTATTCTCCTTAATCTGAATGAACCGCGACTTGAAGCTGCCCATCAACCATTTTCAACAAATAAATATCACAGTAGAGGGTTTCCGGTGCAATTCGGCCATTGATCATCAATCCAAGTACCTAGGTGGCTACACACATCAGATGTTTCCATTTCGGTAAAGGTGGCAGCGCAGTTTGCCATTCATAGAGGTGGGGCGTCATCGAATAAGCCAAGTCATGATCTGACCACTTCAGAGGACCATTGTTTATGACTTTTACTCAATCCCACTTATTTAACAACAGCATAATTGAACTTCGGCCGTCCAGTAGCCCGACTAGTAAACACAGCGGAGATGTTGCCATTCTGAGCATTGGCAATTATGCACGCAAATTGACGAATGTTTTACTTGTGCCACAACGATCTCGACGTTATCGAAGTACAATCTTTGCTTACACGAAAGGTCCATCACCAAATCACAGGTTTATTGGCAATTCAACTGAAAAAATTGAAATTCAACGTTTATACCGCTATTCAAAAGCTCAATTTCAGTTCTAACTTGAACGCTTGGAACGCTAGAAAATGTCACAGTACATTTTGATTGTACAGATAAATTACAAATAAGCACCTGTATTGAACAACTGTGAACCACCGTTGAAGAGAGCTATGACCATCAGGGAAAGGGTAGCAGGTTGAAGTAGATCTGGCACGTGGGTCAACGCCAGTTGGCGTGATGATTTCTGCTAGGTGAAAAAGAATCCTGCAGCCCTAGATTAGGCTTAACATCTAGGTATATTTTCTAAGAGATTCTGAGCATAGCAAGGGTTACATGTTAAAGACTTCTTGCTCTCACGATAAAATATACGTTATGCTACTGCAGTAGCACCTGCCTATGAACGGGTCGTCTAAAGCGTCTCCATAATAATCTTTCCCTTGAATTGAAGAAATCGAATGATAATTGAATGCTGGGTCTGGAACTAGAAGTGGAAAATGACAGATACATTTTTGGGTGTTACGAAACTATCGAATGAGTCTCCGACAATGTGGAAAATCAATAATGAAATAAATCAAAATAAAAACTCCAAAAATGAAAATCTGTGAGTCGCACTGCAGAAGTGTGTACTTTCATTGCATACAATAGCATCTAGCTGATTAATCTCTAATTGCAACTTACAGCTGTTTGTAAAATGTTTATCACGACAGTCGCACCAATTGAAGCGGCTACCATCTAACAGTACGCGTGATTAAGAGTTTGCAATGAAAAACGTCCCGCACTACTGTTTCGGTTAAGGGTTACTTCAGACAACTGGTTTCCTCCAGCACGAGACAAAGTCTCTTCAGGTTCGTTTTTAAGCCTAAACCTTTATCTGCTAAACGTCACTAATTTAATGGGCAAACACGTTACTACTACACGAGCAGTCGGGGACAACAGTCCGGGATGGGCATGGTTTAATCACCGTCGAATATAGAGCTTCGTTGTTGATAATAAAGCCATACAAATGTGAAGTTCCTTCAAAAAAAAAAAAAGTTCTTCCGCCAATTGACAATAGCGAGCAGCACCGGTCACGACCTTACCTCTGCCGTATGGTTATTTCCGTGACTACGACTTTTCGCCACTAATTGTGACTACTATGTGAGGCTGCTAACAGCACAATATCAGACAGTGTCGTCTGACGAAACAACTTCTAACTATGGTTTCGGACCTAAAATTCATGAATCGCGAGGCGTGCCTCCTTTGAGGATTTTCATAAATCAATTTTCATGCCGTTCCCCCTCTTTTTTACTCCACGGTCGGCTTAGCCTCGTCACACGAACTCCTGCTTCCCGCAACTATCTGTATATTACGGTAATAGTACCGTTTACTGCATCGCTAACTCTATGGACTGTATTTCTCAAAAACATTTGGGTGCTGCTGATATTCCTAACCTCAAGCTTTCTTTTTCTATCTTTCATTCTCGTCGCTTTACAGGCTCTCGCTCCTTTCGTTAATGGTGGTAGTAGTAGTGGCTCACGAGCCAATCCTTCGCCCCTGAAAAGGACTATCGCTTTGAGATCTTCTATATCTTGCATAAGCACTACGTTCTTGTTGTCATCTTCCTTAAACGACCTTTTTCTTGTAACTATATGCGCATAATGTACGTGAATCCCGTACTCAAGTTTGTTCCGCGCACGCAAGGCATTTAGCTCGCTGACCTAATCTCAGCTTGGTTATTGTTCGTGTCCTCAACTATGCCCTGCTATGTCTACGCCCCACACTATGACCAAAACCCGAAAAGAGCTTGAAGGCTGAAGGCCGATGTGATTGCGTCTGCTGCAAAACGCCTACGCCGCGGCCCTCGTCAAGAGCTGGAGCTTCATAACTGATAATTTATAGAGCCGGTGATCTCGTTGCCCTCTGTTACGTCTGTCGTAACTATGCAATTGCCGTCTAACTCTGTGGTACGCACTGGCCGACACAACTGGTATTGTTCATTTTACGCACTTTACTGCCATAGCCTAAAACGAATCATTTTTAACGGCCGTAACAGGTCTGAAATAGGAGGTTCAGTTCTGCGGATCTGAAAGGGCCTGAAACGAAAGGTCCAGCTTTGGGCAGTCCTGGATAACTTTAAATGGTGGGCGCCAGCCGTTATCGGCCCATCGAAAATGTTCACAACATTGAAAATGAGAGGTCGCAGCTCAGAAGATCGTTACTCAAGTTTTGTCTTAATATCGATGATACCATTGGATAGAGTAAGGTGATATTAAAATGAAAATTATGCTTGAGGTTGGCTAGTTTTCGTGCCTTGACTCAAATATATGATTCGCTTATTCCACTTTTTGAACCTTTAAATCATGATTGCCCTGCTAGCATTTGGAAGGCTGAGATCCTACCTCATGCTGGATGGCTTTTGATAGAGTTGCAATTTCTAAGCAACTACAACAGTAAAATTTGACATCTATATAAAGCACAATAGCGCCTTCTAGACTAGACTAATTTATATACAATGGGAGCAAGCAAAATAGACTTATGTAGAGGTAAAATATTTGCTAAAGTCAGCAAAATTGTTTGATTTCAGTAGCATGTATTATAGCAATTTTTTTACCCTAATAAAAAGTTTACCTTTTCTTTAGATTTTTCATTACTGCAAGTCTGCGTTTTAAGCTTCCCCGTATTTCTTCGAATAAACATCTGGCCTACATAGAGTTTATAGAAACTGTTAAGAAAAAAAGGTGAAACAGCCTAAAAGGTTGGAAACTTACGTGTGTTTCGCGATGCTCCTGCATGTCTTCAGCGCGCATCTCTTCTATATCCTCTTCGATAAGCGGAGTGCAACGCAACTTTTCTAATGCCTCTCGGGCAGCTCGTTCCTGGTTGCGCGTGAATAAGAGAAACCGTGGACTCTCGGGACACAACGGTAATAATGCCAATTGCAGTACTGCCGGTACAACGGCAATTGCTGGCAGAATACAGTTATAATTATTATATTATTAGGTAGTAGCTGGATATATATACATATCTAGTCGGGCAAGGGTCACCTCATATTTGGAGAGTCGTCTATAAATAAGTTGGCTTTTTATTGCAATCGTTTGCTAATCTGCTGCTACCTAACGAGGTGTAGCATGAGAACTTTTGTGTGAATTCTTGGTGTGACACTTGCAAACCCTCAACAGGCTTCTACTTCACCTTGTATAAATGTATATGTGTTCAATTGGTTTCAGCTAACCCGCCTAGTATTCTTTCACCCCAATAGATAGTGCAGTGGACAGGTAGTCGGACAATGACAGTTGGAAATACTCTGGCAGGGGACAGAGGTCTGCAAGGGACGTTATACACACTCGAGTAGAAAAAGCATACAGGGAAAAGGTTCCAATGTTGCAAAACGGATTGCGAACGATGGGACAGTGGGCTGTCTAAATAAATTAGCTAATAACTCGTAACGACTGAAGACAAATACGTGGAAATAGATGAAGACTGCTACGCTTTGCAGTTTTGCAGGAGCCGACCTAACAGACCCTCCGAGATTCTCAGCCTAGATCGCTCTAATCCACCTTCACTAGATTGTGTTACACACGCAGCTGCCTGTGATGTCACGGCACCGCTTCACGCCTTCACCATTTGACGTGTACCATGGATGCGTTTTATCCTTAACTATAATAGTTTTTTGTCCTATGCAAGTCTTTCTTGCCTTGTGCTTTTTCCTTCTAGTTTAACCTATTACTACTACTTTTATTGGCTCCTCACTACTCACCTAATAGATAGGGCCATCCGTCCTTCGTGCCTAGAATGACAGGCAGGCCGAGTATCTGTGACAGCAACATGCCTACAGTGACTCCCACCTGACTAACAGTCCCGAGTCCGCCGCGTAGGGGCAACGGACTTATCTCCAGCAGGTACATTGGCACGAGGGCCGTATTGAGTCCACAGTTGAAACCGATCACGAGGCGACCGAGGATGAGCAACTCGAACGAAGAGCAAGGCTTTGCTAAGCCCATTAACAGGCCCCCCGCGATGCCGAGTGCGTTATTAGCCAGCATACCGCCCTTCCTAAATTGGGAAAGACGACACGGAACGGAATAGAAGGTGGAGATGCATACAAATGAATATTTGTGTGCAATGCGCATACAGTACCTACTCGTTGCTAGGTTACGGTGAGGAATTAGCCTTAACTTTTTCATAATGCATAAAACGCCAACGACCTGTTACAACCAAGGAGACGTGTTATTTTTATGCGTGCTGCATATAGACGTACCCATTTACGGTCAATTGTCTAGAAAGATATGATTTCTGCATAAAATTTAGTTTTTTTTTTGGGTCATTATCACATAACATTCGCGCGATGCTCGAAAACCCTGTCTAGTTGGACATTGAACAATGTATAATCTCAGCTGGTTCCTTGCTTTGCTGTATTGTATAAGACTATATAGAGATATTGGGCCGCGAGCCCCTTTTTTAACCTATCTCGCTCTCGTGGTAATCCTACCATAATTTTATTCCTCCTTGTTTATTCCAGTCAGAGCTTCTATGCTTACTTTTGTACTCCTCACTTTACAGAAATTACGAGCATGTTACTAATAAAAAGCCTATTCACTAGATACAGCGGTGGATAGATGCGAGAAACAGAGGGTTCTTGCTAAAACTGCAGCTAATAAGCAGCAGCTTTAGCAAGAACAAACGTATAATATAAGACAAAGATTGAGAAATACTCAGCACACTTTTGCTGAACGAGAGATTGATAATATGAAAAATAATACGAGCTTCATTGGAAGATTGAGGTTATGAGTAATTCATAGAGCTTAATCAAATTCCACCTATATCCGCTTGGTATATAGGCTGACTTGGGTTTTTGTTTTGTATGCGAAGCTCCCCCCCCCCCCCCGAACTCGTTTCGAGTTCTTTTTAGTTGTCCGCTTGTCAGAAGGATAGAGATGCGGACGACAAGCTCATGCGTTGACAGGCAACGCGATGGGGCTTCCTGCGAAGCTACTTATAATAGTACTAGTGTTACCAACAGCGGAGAGGCGAGTTAATTCCCCGCTTCCGGCCCTAAGCCGTTCCTAACAGAGTGGTGCTTACTAATTAACCGAAAACTTCTTCTACAGCTCTTGCATTTTTTTCTCGGTTTAGAAAGTAGGGGTAACTGAAGGCCAGGGATGGAAAGGGGAATTTAGCATGCATCTACGGTAATTCCCTTTCTGCAACAGGCGGAACGCGAGATGCGAGGTCTGCACTCTCACGCCGGTTGTAGGGAAAGTTTCGTGTCGCGGGGCTGTAGCGGTGGTAACGTTGTAGTGTTTCTAAAATCGAGATTGAAGTCCTGCTGCACTGTACCAACTTGCACTTCTTCATCAAATGGAGTACTAACAGACCTAGGCTTCTTGTTAGGCCTTCTAGCCGTTAATCATGCTCGCTAAGGTTTTCTCGATATTGCACGCGCTCTCTCTGTGTCTCGCTAGTTTACTTCCAGCCCCTCGTCTGTTGCGAAATACGTTTAATCTTGGGACTGCTTTCGGCGGGTGGTGAGTGAACGCTAGCGCTCACTCATTCAGACCAGTCTGTCAACTCAGCGACTGGCGGAACTCTATGTTGAACTCTTGGAACGAGGCGAACCATGTCCCTAGGCGAATATAGTTGTCAATACGTATTGTCTCCTACGCAAACATCCGGCACCGTGTGGGTCTCTTCAAGGTCCCATCGATAAAGCGACCACTAGACGTGTAGGCAGCCCGCTCAAATGGAAGACAGTGCAGTAGTGCTGCCAGGGCAAACGGGGCAGACTAAATAAGAAGTATCGTAAAAGACCAGCAAGAAAGTGGCTGACCGAATAGACCGGATCAAGGTTTGATCGAAACAAGGTTTATTATAAGTCAAAAGAAAAACTCTTTCTAGCAGTCCTTTTCTATTTTGAACTTTCTGTTTCTCTGTCTATGTATTTTATAATGTAACTGGTCGTCAGGATTCTTTCTGGGCACTGCTGGTGTTGCCTTCGACTAGGTCGGGTGATGGTCGTGAAGCCTAACACAGATAGTAAAATCGTGTTCAGCATCTGCCGGCACGACTTCGACCAGCCTGCTACGTTGAGAAGTCGGTTACCCTATTACCTAATATCGATGTGTCAGTTCTGTTTGTTATTCAGACGGAACCAACTTTATCCCGGAAGATTTTCGAAGAAGAAGCAGAAAAAAGAAATACCCAAAACAACACACGGAAACTAAGAGAACCGAGAAAAGCAGGACGACTTCTGATGGAGAGGAAGGAGCACACATGAGTGTTTTCGAGGACGAGGCGGAAACCCGGTTAAAGGCAGATCTAGTTGAGGCAAGCTGGCAGACGCAGTATCAACGCGGTGCCGCCGAACGCTACGGGTCCGTTCGTGAGAAGTACAAGCTGAATACAGAGGTTTCGAAGCAATTCGTCCGCGCGCTATCCATTCATCTTGTGCTGCTTATTATTCGCTCCTGTACGTTAGCCGCTGCTGATCTCACTGTAGACCTCTGCCACTTGGTGAGACATAGCTTTACTTACTTTCTATCGTGTTCTTTCTTATCGCTCGCTGCAAGCAAGAAAGAAGTCAATTGCCACTGAAAGGAACTGGAAATGCTAACAACAGCTTTTTTCTGTTCGCCTTCTACGGACGTTCGAATTATTGAAGCAAACGAATTGGCTGTTTAGCCTGTTCGACTTCTCAAGATTGGGAATTGCTGGCGGCCGCAGTCCCTACTAGTTAGGAAGCAGCGCGTCTGGAGCGGAATTCAACGCAGCCTTGGTTAGCTTTTCCTTTGGTTCCATTTTTGGTCTCTCGCTGCTAGTACTAGGCCCACTCCTAACTGAAGACGAGAGTTTAGATTATACTTCAGACTTCCGTAGTCGGAGTCGAGCTACTCCGCAGACGAGGTTAGGCTAAAAGGGGCGTCTTCTACGCTGTAAACGGAAAGGTCTAGCTAGACAAGCAGCAAAAGGAAGCAATGAAGAGAAGGCAGCTCCCGGCGTCGCCTCTGGCTATGTCGCCACTGCCTTGACTGCCATCGCGTTTCAGCCACCAGCAATAACCCAACAAAAGCAGTCCCACTTTATTTCACTTTGGGCTTCTCGCATCCTATCCCACATTTACTGGCTTAGTGAAACTTCCAGCACACTTAAGCAGCCACGTTGTTTTCACCCAGTCAACCTTTGCTTTAACTACTACCACTACGAGTAGTTTCTTTCGCTTGCTCTAGCGTGCGTTTCCCATTTTCAGTTCCATCCCTCAGTCGGTTGGGTCTTTCTAGTCCCTCGATTTGTGGATTGGGGGTGGTTTCGAAGTCGGTAAGAGACTGTAACCGCTGCCGGCTTTAGCTGACTTTGGCTCCTGATATAGGCGGGGGCCCCAAGGGGCGCAGAGCACGCGGGAAATGTACTGATTGCAATCAGCGTGATTTAAATAATAAATTCGTTTTCTTCTTCCTCCCCTCCTCCCTGTTCTTTTCTTCAGACGACGCAGTTTTCGAACAACAAAAAGTAGAGGATGCAGCTAGTATTCTCCGACAAATTGAATGATTCCGTGACAAAACGCTAGACAGGCATGAGGCTAGAGGTTGGTAGGCGCTCTAACGGCCACGGCAATCATCGGATGCAAACCGAAACGAACGTAAAACTACCGGATTTGCTTCACATTTCTACGGGAACACTGTTGTCTCACTGGCAATTCCTTAGCTCCCGCGTCCTTCTCCATCGCTTGACGACAATGATTACGTGACTCAGAGATACTGCAGTTACAATATACTACCGCAGTTTTTCTTTTTCATCGAAATGATGGGCGAGTACAACGCTTGCAGTGGTAACGGATAGCAACAAGTTGTCGTCGCAGTTATCCTTGGTTTCACTATTGCGCGGAAGATAAGGCCAATATACCATCTACAGAGAGTTCACAGTATGCGAACAGGCAGACAGGCCTGCAATTTAGAGGAATACTGAAGACAAAGGGGGGCGAGTGAAGACGACCTATGGGCCTTATAGGTACAGGTAAAATTCACTTGCTAGTACTAGTTACTATTAGTCTCTTTTTTCGAAAACTGCAAAATAGAAACAGTTATAGTCAGTTTCTTTAATGGTAATAGTCAGGCGATAATATCACACCGCTCTCCTTTAACTGGGCTAAAATTTACGTCAGCCTTAATCGTAATCGCTGAGCTTACAGTTTTCTCGTAACTTTACCACTTTCCCAGCCTTCATGACACCCTCCTTGGTCAGCCGACACAAATGCATCCACTAAGGGCTATCTGTCTTGGCTTCTACTGAAAAGCTGAACTCGGAAAGATAGCCACGAAAATCGACTACTGCGAATGCTAACAGGCGCAAAAAAGTTCGACGGTACTTAGCGACTTAACAACGGCGGCTACGCGGACCGTCCTTTTTTGAACGCCATCACACCTATGAGCTGGTTGTCGATGACGTTAGACTTTCCAGCCTTTGCATTCAATAGCAACCGCAGCAGTAACACCGGTTGCTATTGCCTTGTCAACTGCAGAGGGTGCCATATGGCTGAAACGACTGACAAAGAAACAACTGCTATTCGTTAAGCGACCAGCTTACTAGGGCTAGAGCTCACCGCTTTCGCATTTTTCTTTTTTTCCTTCACTAGTCACTTCAAAGAAGAGAAGTCATGTCTAAAGCATCCAACAGATTTGGCGAAAGTGGCCGGTGACTTTATGTTCGTCTTGACGTTTTGGGGGGTAGAATTGTTACGGGGAAAAGGCCGCGTCGTAACGGAAGGACATAACAGGGCAGATGGAACAGCGCCATAATGAGATTTGGTCATCGACCAGCTGCAAACTGTGAACACAGACTACGATATTTGCTTTGAACCTATGCAGGAGCGGAATTTAACGGAACGGCACTAACTGAGTTTACTGCAAATCACTTGTATTTCCGTACGATGAGGGCGGTGCACGCACGGCCGGGTGCAACGACGCTTTACGCCGGTTCTCCGCTTTATTTATTATCGCTTTACTAATTACAAAATACTAACAACTGACCAATAGTAGCACCATCAAAGCAACAGATATCAG